CTATTTTATTTTTCTTTATGTACACTGAGAGCATATTCACCAAAGACAAATTCCTTGTGTGTCCAATCACACTTGGCTAATAAACTATTCTATTCTATTATTCTACTCTACTCTATTCATTTCTATTTCAATTCTAATAAGTTTAGCTTCTCTCTCTTGAAAATGTAAGCTAGCATAAGGCATTATAATGCAAGCTAGCTTTGGTTTTCAAACAGTTCATTTACAATGGCATTGAAAAAAGTGACTGATGACCATTTTTCACTTAGCGACCATTTTTCACTTAGCGAACCATTTTCACACTTAGCGACCATTGCAGCATCCTCATGGTCACATGATCAAAATTTTGATGTTTGGCAACAGATTCGTATTTATGATAGTTTCAGTGTCCTGGGGTCATATAATCGCCTTGTGTGACCTTTTGACAAAATATAAAATTTTTAATTAAGGCCCCCCCCCCCCCAATCAATAGTGTCCCTCTTTACCAATCTGAAAATCTGGTCACCCTAAAGGATAGAGAGAAATCCAATATTGTCCCACCTAGATTCTCTTTGGTGTAATGGAGTGGGGATGGGGGAGGGATAGGATTCTCTAAAAATAAAATTCCACAAGTCCTTGCAGTGTTTTCTGGCCTGGTCTGTCTTGAAGCCTCACCATATTCCTAATTCCAAACCTGGTACCTTGTTGTTGTTTGAAATCAGCAGAGTATAGACATGGGCTGTAGTTACTAAATGCTACTTTTGTATTTAGTGTTGTTTTGTGAGGTTGGTTAGAAAAGTTGTGGATTCATTTCAAAAACGAAGGCTTGGAACATACAGGAGAAGAAATATAGTATCCATTTGAAACTCCTTAAAAAGCAGCTAAATTTCCTCTCTCCGTGGCTACAGAACAATCCCAGAAAAAGATATACAGGCAGTCCTTGACTTACGACCAGAATTGAGCCCAAAATTTATGTTGATAAGTGAGGTATTTGTCTTATTTTATCACCTTTCTTGCCACAGTTGTTAAGTGAATCACTGCAGTTGGTAAGTTAGTAACCCATTTGTTAAGTGAAACTGACTTGCCCATTGACTTTGCTTCTCAGGTCGCAAAAGGTGACCTTGGAACACAGCAACTGTCATAAATAGGAATCATTTGTCAAACTTCTGGATTCTGATCACATGACCATGGGGATGCTGCAAAGGTCGTTAGCGGTGACCTTTTCAGTATCATTGTAATTTTGAATGCTTACTAAACGAAATGTTGTAAGTCAAGGACTACCTGTATGCTACATGCATACCCACAACTCTCCCAAAGAAATTTCTGGAATTCAGTATCTAATACTGTGTGGTCCAATTGGTCAATCTGTAGTTCAGTGAATTGGGCAAACCAAGCATGTGTGATTAAGTTTACAGTTTGGGACGTAGGTTGAATGAACACTGTTAGGATGAGTAAACCTAAGATAATGTGGTGCAACTATAACTTACTGTAGAAAAAATAGGTACGATACACATTAAAATGGGGATCAATTGGTCGTCCTACTCAAGCACTGCGCTTAAGGGTGGGGGGAGCTTAAATGATGGCGTAGTGGTTAGAATGCAGTACTGCAGGCTATTTATGCTGCCTGCCAGCTATCTGCAATCTCACTAGGCTCAAGGTTGACGCCTTCCGGGGTAGGTAAAAGGAGGACCCAGATTGTTGGGAGCAATAAGCTGACTCTGTAAACCACTTAGAGAGGGCTGTAAAGCACTTAGAGAGGGCTGTAAAGCACTGGGAAGCGGTAAATAAGTCTAAGTGCTATTGCTATTACTTCAATGCATGCCAGAAGCATGCCTTTTTAAACAACCCATCTCTGTATTAGACCTATGGTGACTCTAAACGGTACTTACATTTAAAGGCAACTTTGCAGTTTTAAATGTAATAGTATGGTGAATATTGCACGACAGTATGCAGACCTGCAAGTTTCTAATTCTGTACTAGTTTCAGTAGCCCCTTAGAATTGTAGTTCTGCCTTTGCAAGGCTATTTTCTAAGATCTACCATGGTGCCCTTCATATAACTGGAGAAGTCAGCATTTTATTTACTAAACTTTTATGCTGGCCACCTCCTGACAAATCTGCCATATTTGAAATGAACCTTTTCATACCATCCCTCTTTCCCCCTTTTTAACATCATCATGGTTCATCACTATTTTGTAAGTTATTTGCATTCTGCATTAAGGACTTTGCAAAGATTTGGCCCTTGCTTGTTTGAAAACTCAAAATAGACATGCAAAGGCATGGGAAAAAACGCACTACACAGATTCGTAGAGAAACATAATTTAATTTTATTTATTGAAATTCTTTAAACACTTTGTTACATCAAATCCAGGTACCAAGTGGAAGCCAATCTTAAGTACTCCAACGCGAACAGGACAAGATAGAAAGGAGGAATGAAGGAAGAGCCTCTGGCCAGCCGAAATACTGGTGCACAGTTCTTAGAAATGCACGTGCTGGCTATGAGCCTCTTAAAAAGCACTAAGATGCTAAATACTGCAAGAAGAACTTGTTCCATCTTTCCCTTAAGGTTAATTGTTGCAGCATATAACAATGATGAAGGAGTTCGGTGACAATATCCAAAGAGTTTTACCTTTCAAAGGAAATGCACCTAGTACCAAAACCTGTGTGCCCCTGTTCTGCAAGCCTGTGTCTTTAAAGCAGCCATAAAAATGTGTAGGGCAATGAAGTGGATACTCTAGTTTGATCTGGAATTAGTTGGCAATTTCCCAAGAAGGAAAAAAAAATCATTTAAGCTTCTGAAGAGAAACAGCATTCGGAAAAAGGTACATATGTTTTTTCATCACAACAACAGTTGCAGAGGAAAAGCAACAAGCATTAGTATATCTAACCTGAAAGGGTCTTTGGGAAATGGCATACTCTATTAATTTTTTGCCCAGATTATGTTGAAGGATAGCACTGGGTTGCTATACCAACAATCTTGTAAACACTGATGAACAACATTATATGACTGGTACCGAAAAACAGACTTAACATGCAAAGGACAGTCACTGCTCAAGGCTAAAGCTATAGGATTTATACCTTCCAGCTAAAACATTTTTCAAATCAAATCAAAATTATTTTAATTGAATAAGATTACAGAAATCAAATATACAGGCAAATTCAAGATACAGACCAGCTCCAAGATGTACACCAAAGAAACCCAACCTAATGAGATGGGTGAATCTACAGAAGAAAATACCCTGCCTGCAGGAAGAACACATTGCCTATCTTTCTTTTTCCCCCAGTGAACCTGAGTAGTGAGAGCAATAAATATAAAGAGTGTTAAAATGCAAGTCTCACAATGAAGCGGAAAGGGCTTCATTTAGATTTGAGCCCATCATTGTAAAATATGATAAGAGTTTCTAAAACCTTCCCAAGGGATATGTGTGAGTGTTCTAGCTCAGGAGAATGATCTTTATTTCATTCATTGAATGCTAGAAACCCAACCATCACCAATCATTGTAAACAGCAAGGACTGACCCTTCCTCCCACTTCCCTTGAAATAATCCCTTGCTAAAGGCATCTGCAACTTAAGTCTTCATTTTTGGTTGGAAGTGTTTTGCTGTCTCACCTTAATATATTTAATATACATATACACATATGGAATTTTCATTAGGCACAAGTGCAGGTTAAACGTTCAACAAGTCCTCGTCGCTGTCATCATGGTATGATGCAATGTTCATGGAGTTCTGCATTTCTTCTTGACCAAAAGCGGGGCTGGTTTTGCTGTTCTTCCTTCCGTTAGGCAGAGCAGTTTTCCCACTGCCTGAAGGCTTATGAGCTTTGTTATGATAAGGCCTTCTAATGCTGCTCAAGCCTCTTGAATCCACATCTCTTGCTGAATGAATCTTCACCTCTGGTATTGTCAATACTTCATCCTCACTGTCCATGTCATCCACCGGAAGGGACATGAGGTTATCTGACATGGCTGTCTTTCGTGCTACATGGCCATTTATGTGAGCTTTGTTTCCTAAACTGTGATTTGGTGTAGCTACTTCTTCCATGAGCCATTCTGTTTCATTCTCATTTACCTCTTCAGTATTTATCTGTTAATTCCAAGGACAGACAGTAAAAACATGATCATTTAGTTTACTGAAAAGCAAGGTACGTCTGATTTTGGAGAATTAAAATTTTGCAGGTTAAATTTTTTTACTAGCAAGAATCAGGAATAAACAATGGGAAAATCTTTGCCCTTACAACTTTTCTTGCAAAAGTCTGGCTGCTTCTCCCTTTGGCCCTTATTCCTTTGAATTGATACACAACCATCGTTTCAATACTTCCCCCCAAGTTTTCAAATATGAAGCTCTGGAGGAATGGAAATATTTTATACAGTTCTTCCAAATACTGAACAATAGCTGAAAATCTCAAACTGAAAGCTATCAATAAATAATGCTTAGTGAATGTAGGGCAGATTATTATTATTTTTTAGTTTGTAAAATTCATCCTGTTATTTATACTTCATGCTTATGTATAATTAAGTAGCACTGATTTTAAACCCGATATAGCTCTGCATAAAGTATAGTTATGACTACAATACAGAGCTATAAACAGAATATTTGATGCACTTATATAATAAAATACCTTAGTATATTTATAAGAAACATTTGATGATCTCCGACAGCAGTTGACTATCTTCTGCTTCATAGATTCTCTATGAAATAAAAAATATTAATGTTACACACTTTATATTCTGAGGTAACCTATCTACAGGTTTAGGTGTCTGCTCCATAAAACAAGTCATTATCAAGTTGCAAATGAAAATGGGAATGGGGGATGCCATGTTTGACAAATAAAGAAGAAAGAAAGCCCACATGTCAAAGTACGGTGGGCTTTGAAGAGGATCCTGATGGCAGACTAGAGGCAGGAGGCAGTTTGGTTACAGTGGATGACAAAAGAGGGAATGAGATGCTATTAGTAGCCAAGTTTTGACATCAACACCCATTTCTAAAGATGCCTGTAAACATTAGCTCTTTCAAAAACACTTGTGCTTGATTTAAAAATGAGGCGTGGTCTGATATCAGAATATTGACCAGTACTATTTGTTGTGTGCTACTATTAAAGCCGTGGTGTCACGGTGGTTAGAATGCAGTGTTGCAGGCTAATTCTGTTCACTGCCAGCAGTTCAGCCGTTTGAATCTCAATGGCTCAAGGTTGACTCAGCCTTCCATCCTTCCGAGGTGGGTCAAATGAGGACCCAGATTGTTGGGGGCAAGAGGCTGACTCTGTAAACTGCTTAGAGGGGTGTAAAAGCACTGTGAAGTGATATTTAACTCTAAGTGCTATTGCTATTGCAACTATCCTATAAGAATAGTAATATGTTTAATGAAGAAACAGTTCTAGCAGAGTTTTATGGGTGTTGGATATGTTGTTTTCAATACTTCAAGCTTTCTGGTTTTAAAACGTTTCCAAAATGTTATATTGGGGAGTTATTGCAAAAGCAAAAATCTGAGCATTTTCTTTTGACCTACCTTCTTTCTTTTTTGTAAAGTAACAGGATCACAAGGCATGCTGTGAGAATCACAAGGAGTAAACTCAACAGTGCGCCAACTGCTTGGCTTCTTCCTGAAAGGCCTTTAGAAAAATCTTCCACATACTTTCCATCATTTGTTGTTTCAGAGCTACTGCAAACAATAAAAGAAATGGGAATTTGAATTCAAAAGGTATCATCTATTCTGCAAAAGCAGCCCTCCATATATAACTTGTTCTCTCTATTCTGTTGTAGCTCTTCCTGCCCACTAGAATGGGTCTCTTTGACCCTTGGAAAGATTTGGTGCAGAGAAGAGGAGACAAGTTAGGCTCACTCTGAGTACACATTTCTATTGTATTTCCCAGGACACAGTTCATAAATGACCCTTGCAAACTTTTAATTAAATTCAATAATAACCAAAAACTAAATTCTGAAACAAGAGGTGATGGTTGTATTTCGAAATGATTAAGACCCATGTTCAAATACATTCCTGGAAATAGAATAAGCTATAATTATAAGTACTTAAAAATAATTATTTTAATCCTTCCATTTCAGAGCAGATTAATCAACTTCCAACCAAACAAGCAAAATTTCCCAGCACTGGTTTTCCCCCCCAATATAGCTACAGTCAGTTATCTACTCAATTCTCCAAGTTCAAAAGGGTGCTACGGTTATTGTCATATACGTAACTCTGGAGTGAGTACTATTTGAATTCATGTTAGGTATGTTATATTTCACTTTATTCTTCATGATGGTCACATTTGGGTCAAACACCTGGAAAAGGCAACATCCATTACATCAATCCTTCAGGTTTAATAACGAAAAATAGAAATGATCTACTCAGCAATGGGTTTAGGATGAAAAAACTGAAATTCAATTCAAGTAATACTGCGGTTTGGGGAAGAGGATTCAATCTCTTTTCATGGGATTCTATTTCTCTCAACGGATTTGTAATATAATCTCTGATCTAGACCAAGTTTGTCCAGAAGAAGCTGTAGCTTGAAGGTAACATTTGGACAAATTTAATCTAATAAAGATGATTGATGATCTGCTCAGATCCCACTAATACTTTTGTACTTTTTTACACTTTAAAACTCCTAAAACTAAAACTGTGATAGCTATATCACACACACATAATTTGAGAAGAGGAAAATTAATTTCCTGGTCTAGCTCCAGTTAGTTTTAAGAATCTAGTTTGAGACAATATGTGCTGTATGGAACTTTCATGATCTATTTATTTACTCAATTTTAGAGACTGCCAGACTCCAGAATGACTTTGGGTAGCTTACAATTAAAAAACAGAAAAAACATGGAAATAAGAATTAACAAGAATTATTCTCATGAAATTTACTTACACTAACTGGCAAACCGCTGAAGTGTACCAGGTGAATAAGTACTGGCAGTCCGTTGATTCATGAAGAAATTTTGGGATGCCTTCTTTAGCATCTTTATCACAGTGGAAGACAATAGTTGAGGAGGCAGATTTTTTGGAATCTCTGCCACATGTGGAGTCAGAGAAGAACACAAGATCCAAAACATCATCTGCAAAGGAAGAAAGAAAAAGAAAAATTCACAACCAATTGTTGGTTGTGGATATTTTGTGGACATCTCAGAAGAGACATTCCCTAGTTTCTTGGGCTGTTAAAGTGGCAGGGAAGAAAAGTACTTTCAGTCTTGCGGGTTTCCACAAGATACAACAGCTGGTCTACTTCCCCACTATGTGTCTTCTTATTGTGTTGTAAATCCTTCCTCTCCAATCTCTTTCTCTGCCAGAGACGGGAGTAAAAAATGGGGCCAAGCCGAGGAGCAATTGCCTATTTTAAAAAATCACTTTTCCCCGCCACAGAGCAGAGCAACTGGGGGGAGGGGAGGAAAGCCAATCAATTTCTGTGGACAATCTCTTCTGTGCCTATTATTTTTCAACAACTCCTCCCTTGTATTTCTTTCTATGTACATTCCCCATTGTGTGCCTTATTCCCTTCTTCTCCAGGTTCTCTGTTCTGCAAGGAGAAGGGGAGAAAAGTACAGAACAAGGCATACTAAAACTAAAGGCAATCGCATAACTGAGGGACACTGTGAAGGTTGTAAATGTAGGCATTGGTCTTAAAGTTACTTTTTTCAGCGCCATCCTAACTGCTCACTTAGCAGTTACTAAGTAAGGAGTGCTTGTTCTTATTTGTATAGAAAAGTTGCTAAATTCTCAGTAAATGATGTTCTTACTTTAGTTTCCTGCTTGCCTCTCATGGAGGTGAGCTGGCAAGTTTACACATTTAAATTTCCATTCATGTAATGTCTGGAAGGAAAAGAGGTGAGTTTTCCCACATTTTCTCTCTAGCTACCCAGTTTAAGAAAATGAAAAATGGGATCTATATGTGTAAAAAAAAATATTTTTTTCAACTATTCTACTCTCAGAAAGCAAAAGAATTATAATGTATATCCAACAAATTACCCTTCACCCTGCTCTTCTGTTATTGAGTATTGCCGTTTCAGTTGTTCTTTAACTTGGAAAGGCAAAAGAGGGATGATAGAGGAGCACGGGGAAATGTTCTATAAGGACCCACTTTATCTTCACTCCCTGGGACAGGAAAAGGTCAGAATAAAAATGCCAAATGTGCTTTTCCAGGAGGCAACTGGACTTTCTGGTTTTTCTTTGAAGACATTTTGCTTCTCATCCAAGCTTTCTTGAGAAACGAAATGTTTTTCAAAGAAAAAACTAGAAAGTTCAGTTGCCTCTTGAAAAAGCATCTTTGGGACAACCATGATCTGGATGATTGAGAATTTCCATACGCAGTCAAAATCCAAGAATCCCCATGTCCAAACAATAGGACTTTTCACAAATTCTCAATGCCTCTCAATCTGCTTAAGCAGCCAAGAAAGGGCATATGCTAACATCTGGAGGGACAAGAGGATAAATTAATATCCTTGAGAGTTGGAACGACCAAGAGTTATTAATAGCATTATTCAGTTCTGCTCACAGGAATGAAAACCAAGAAGGTAGATTTGGAAATATTAGGAAATAAAAAGGGAGAGACTAAAAAAAGAAAATACACTGACAGTGAGGCATCGGTATAATTATAACAAATAAGTAGATGATGTGGATGTGCAAAATTATTTATTTGTATACTATCTTTTATCAAATTTATATGGCTGCCCCTCACACAAAAGTTACTGGGTACATTTATGCCCAAAGAATTCTAGCCATAAAACAGCTAGTGCTGGCTAGTTCTTTTCCTCAATTACATGGAATGAAATATGATTATTTTCTTCCTACATATTGAAATACGTCCTCATGAATAGAATTGTTAGGAGGAGAAGGTGAGAAGGGGGGGGAAAAAACCTTCCCCCAAAATCAGAATTTAGGAGAGCCATAAAAACTTGGCTTTCTAAGAAGGCCCTAAAGGATCAGAACACCTGCCTTGGATTTATTAGGTAGGGCCCCCTTGTTTTTTACTTGAAGAAGGAAATACACTGGGAAGATTGAGGATGGGCATGCGGGTGAGATATCTGATTATGGGACCTGGTTACTTTCTGGGGATGATGCCTTAGCAGACATGGGGGCGGGTGGTAATGGTGGTGAAGAGACACAACATAGCAGACTTGCCCTACTTGCTGGGTAAAAATCACTTTGGAATCACTCTGGATTTCAACAGAAGATTGAGAAGAAACTAGGAATAAGCAAAAACATTCTAGATTTTATTTTTAGTGAACGCTGGAATAGTTCAACAGAACTTGTAGTGCAATTTGTTTAGTTTGGGTTTCTATTTTGCACATAACCCAGGTTGTCATCATCCCTAGCAAGTCACTACTTGCCTTGAATATAATAGTGAGCATTTTTTGATGATCCAACTCTACGAGTACGTGTATCTGATATTTTAACTTGACAGATGTTAGCTCCCATACACTTTGGATTCTTTGAATCAGTGATAGAAGAAAGCTGAATCTCATAAATATATCTGTCACCATTTGTTCTGAAATCTCCCGATGCATTGTATAATCTGAAACAAAAATTACATTAAAATACATAATCCGCACACATATACAGAGTAATGATACAGAAATAACCAGAGCTAAGACAAATCTTCTGATGAGCAATATCAATGGGGAAGGCAAATTAACCTAACAATGGTATTAGCTTAACAATTTCAGTGGTTCATTTAACAACTGTGGCAAGAAAGCTTGTAAAATGGGGCAAAACACACTTACCAACTGTTTTGTATAGTAATGGAAATTTTGGGCTCAATTGTGTTCGTAAGTCGAGGAGTATATATACCTGTACCCATCTTCACTATTATTTATGAAAACCATAAGCTATAATGCGCAAGAATACACGGTTGGATTGGAGAAAATATTTTGCTCAAATGTCCTTCATTTTAGAACTAGTTTTTACATTTAATAATAGGCATAGGGAAACATTTATATAATAAGGGTAAATTTAAAGTTATATATTTATCATAGCTTTATAATATATCTACAATAAGTACTTTCCTAAAGATTGAAAAATCTATTATATATCTCTTGCATCAATCTACCACATATACACAAATTTGCTACTGTGCCTGCTGGCGGAGAATTTACTTCTGTTCTATGGATTTACTCACTAGTCTATGGATTTAGGTTGCACCAAGAGAAATTTTTTTAAAAATCCAACAGATTAAGATGAATCTGTCTCTGTGAGGAAACGGAGTTTGTTTATCAATATGTACACACAGGAGTGGGATTCGACTGGTTTGGACTGGTTTGGGCAAACTGGTAACTCTGACTATCAGCTGGGAGTGAACAGGTTCACTCAGACTTTCAGCTCAGCCTGCCTCAGCTGTTTTGCACTGGGGCTGCAGTAGAAGGGAAGTTTTCAAACGGATAATGCGTGAGAGCACACATGCAGAGCACATGCTCAGTGAACCGATTGTTACACCTGCTGAATCCCACCACTATATTACACACATAACTATGTAACAGTTTAATTATCTATTTAACTTACATAAATAAGCCATACAGATGCAAAATTAGTTAATTCCTTAAGAAATGTATTAACCCATATACCAAACTCTAGTTCTTAAATGACCTTCTTATAAAGTTGTCAGTACACCCATCCAGATTTAAAAGTTATTGCATCGCTTAAAAGAAAAAATCCAGACTAATGGTTATGACCTGAAACTTCATATTTCTAGAAGTGTTATATAGACATTTTGTTCGGTTCAGTTCATCTACCAGTTTTTCACTAAACCAATTGGCAACTGAAAAAGCAGATCATTAAGAGTCTTCTCCTGGTCTCTTGTAAGTATTAAAAAAAATAACTTACTTGTAATAAATATTACCCAAACTGAAATTCTTTCCCGTCTCTGGATTTATAACCGTGCCATTCTCTATCTTTACTTCTTGAGGTTTCACAGCACAAGCAGCCCGAGTTTCCCAGGTAATATAATAGGCACAATTTTCTTCATCAATCCTAAGAGGAAGCATTTAGGAAATTAACACTTCACAGTAGAGACAGAAATGGCATGACAGTAAAGACTTAAGAGAAATAAAAGTTGCTATTTATCTTTACTATTGTGTGGATGTGATCGTTGGATTTACACTTTTCACTGAATTTAAATCAAGCACACATTTTCCCGAGTTCCATTGTGGTCATTCTAGTTCATAATTTAATGTTCTTTGTGAATCTAGCCAATTGGGTTTATTCAATAAAGTTTAAACAAAAAAGCCTCCCTTTTCTGCTGTGTAAACCAGAATGCAATTATGTAAAGAGTTTCAGTTTTAAAGAATTACGTCAACACTTCTCTATAGCCATAAGAGGCAAAGGTTTATAAATCACCCATTTGGAACAGATGGTTTTATTTAGTAATCCAATGTAAACCTTTAGAGAATTTGACCTTAAAATAGGCATGATGTCAAGAAAAAGGGGGGAAACCCCATCTTTTTTATTTCTTCCACACTGTCTCATAAATATCTGAGAATGGTTTAGAGCAGTGTTTCTCAAACCTTGGTGACTTTAAGTCCTGGGGACTTCAACTCCCAGAATCCCCCAGCCAGCACAGCTTGCTGGGGAATTCTGGAAGTTGAAGTCCTCAGGACTTAAAGTCGCCAAGGTTGAGAAACACTGGTTTAGAGTTTAAAACACAATTATACTTTGCATAAAGAGGATATGTATGTGCGTTAATGCACATGTACATACAGTATGTTACATCAATCAGCTCAAGGTCTGCAGCTGGTTTTCAGCAGATATAGACATTCATGCTCAAAAAATGGAAGAATCAGAACCAAAACTAGACTGGAACATAGATTTTATTTTCACTGGTACTGTTAGCATAACAATTATTTTATTTCTACTATTTAATTTGGTGATTAGTGTAGATCACTCTTCCACACAACATATTGGTCTTTCTCAACATTCACTCATTCATTCATTTTATTGACTTTATATGGCCATATTGTGACTAATTAGGAGTTACTGAAATATACAGAGCACACTAGATCAGGGCTGTCAAACTCACGGCCTGCGAGCCAGATGCCTCACATGCTGGGCACGCCCATGCGTGGTTTAGCAAAGGGGGTAAAGTCATGAGATGTCACATGATGATGCCAAGACGTTTAACACCCCTGCACTAGATCAAAGAAAGCTTCCCCAAAGCCTAAATGATGCCATGTGCATAATAGATACCGATAAAAGCTGAGGTGGCCTTTGTTATGACATAAAAAACAAATCATCCATGTACCTCCTTACCTGTTGAATCTTGGCAACCCAACAGTTTTTCCACATTTCAACTCTATGACCGTTGTTGCCTTTTTGTTCCTCTGTGGACATTCATGACCATTGGAGTAGCTGACAAGAACTTTGTCACCTGAAACAAAGCACCAGGTTTTATTAAAAGCAAAATGAGATTCTGAATCTAAACAATGCTGTGAAGCCCCTCCCCCCAAATGAATTTAACTACTGTATTTTTCGGAGTATAAGACGCACCAAGGTTTTGAAGAGGCAATTTTTTAAAAAAATAGGTAGATTGATAGAGGGAGAGAGGAGAGAGAGAAATACAGTAGGTAGGTAGGGAGAGAGGGAGTAGGTAGGTAATTAGATAGAGGAATAGAGAGAGAGAAATACAGTAGGTAGGTAGAGAGAGAGAGAGAGTAGGTAGGTAGGTAGGTAGGTAGGTAGGTAGGTAGGTAGGTAGGTAGATGTTTCTAGGTGTATTTATCCATGGAAGGAGAAGGAAATCGCTGACAACCTGCAACACCTAAGACTTATTTTTGCTGGCACAGCACTTAATCAATGTAATTCTCATCAACCACTCCAACTAAAGAGCTTTCCGAAAGGGAAAAAAAGTTTTTGCACTCTACAAACCTCCCCAAAATGCCCAGTTTTTCGCAAAAACGGGTCTGTTTCTTTTCAAATAAAAGGCATGAATAGCCTTGGGGGGGGGGGTTGCAGAGTGCTCCTGCAGGGCGAGGGGTGCCAAAAACAAGTAAAAAATGGCCCGTTTTCGTGAAAAAAAAATTGTCAAAAAAAATTGCATGCATAGCCTTATGGAGGCTTACAGAGTGCTGCTGGGGGCTGGAGAGGCAAAAAACGGCCCATTTCTTGCTCATTTCTGCCCTCCCCAGCCCTCAGGAGCTCTGCACGGCCATTTTTGTGAAGGGGCAGGGCTTCAGGAGACAAAAAATGCTGTGTTTGATGTATAAGACGCACGCAGACTTTCACCCTTTTTTGAGGAAAAAAGGTGCGTCTTATACTCCGAAAAATACGGTAGCTGCTATTTGTGAGGGTTTTTTAAAAATTAACGTTCTTTCTTTATGACTTGGCTTTAGTAATATTTTCTCATCAAAAATGATTGGTTATACCCTCAAAGGCTAATATTTTATAGCTGTGACATATATGTCCATATTTTGATTTCATAGATTGATATCAATACTTTTGCAAAATTAAAAAATATTTTGTTCCAACAATTGTTTCAATTTTAAACAATAGCTGACCCACATAAGCACCAAGTACCAAGAAGTTTCTTTCTATTTCCACATCTACAGACTCTTTCTAGAAGAATATCACTTTATTTAAGGGGAATTACATGGATGTAATGGATATTAATTATTAGGGTTTTTCCATGCATCTATATGCAAATGAGCTCACGTAACCCTAATGAAATTAGAAAACAAAATTAAAACTAAGGATAACTCAGAGTGGAACCCACTGTTGCAGATCAACTCATAGCTTGCAGCTACCACCAACAGGCTTCCTGGCCCATTTTAAGTGCTGGTTATCACCATAAGACTAAGGACCTCCTTACCCACTCATCATCTACAAATATCTACAGACTTTCTGTTTTAAGTTCCTTTCCCTGCAAAGGATAAAGACACAGGCTAGAAAACAGACTTTCTCTATGATTTTTTTCCACTTGGTGAAATAAAAGTACACTCAGCATCTTCATTCTGGCATCCTGGATGACACTAAAAACCTTAGCATTTTTATGGAACATTTAGCTCTAGCAAATGAACATTGGGACACTAATTTGCAAAGCTAATTCTGCTTTTAGTTATGTTTTAAGTATTTGTTAATAATGTAGGACCAACATAATTGTTTTATCACGATTTTATCAGAGATCTGTTTGCATAGGAGTACAAAATTGTACAAGGCAAGTGATAAATAAATGTTAGCAAATTAAACCTATTTTCACTTTCCCCTGCATAAAATAGTAGGGGACACCAAAGAGACATACCTGTAACATTAAGTTTTTGTGTATGAACTAATCCCAGAACTTGGACAGCACCATTCTGATTTCGTCGGCAAACACTTGCCCTGTCAGGACAGCCTGAGGGTCCTTCATGAACTCTCTGACAAAGATTCATGTAATAACTAAATCCAAGAAGGAAAAGACAATCATTTTAGCAGACACTTAATAATTATTTAAAGCATCAATATTCTACCTTTCACTCAAAGTTTTTAAAAAAACACAATCAATATAGGACCTCAATAAGGACCATCTTACATTTTTTTTTAATTTCCAAGAACATGAAATGGAATGTTGTCTATCTATGACAACCAATTTATGTAAGGTAACTCAACTGGAAGACTTTTCAAAAATGTTCTTCTATAAACTTCAAATATCTTTTTAGAATTTTTTTACCATCTTAACTGATAGTCAATCTAAACATAGTATTCCAATGATTCTAGGTTATTCAACAGAGCAAAGCTGAGTGATCAAATATTTCTAGTTAAGATGTATCCTCTTTTAATTAGTAACTACCCTGCATTTCTCTTTGATGTATATTTCCCTTCAATCAATCCCTTGACTTAAAAAAAAAACAGGACTACAAAACTTGATTTAAGCACTGCCTAATCTTAGTCACTTTCCTTAGACTCAGGCAACCTTGCCTGAATTGCAAGATGCACACTTGGAAGAATGATTAGCTATACTAGCAATGAATAACAAACTTGGTAAGTTGATTTCCATTAGAGTTCCAAAGCACACTCACGAGCTGCCCTTGTCTGCGAAGACCCATGAGCCTGTGAGCGAGGAAAGTATTCTCAAATCGTAAGTTTTGTGCTTCTGAATAAACTTGCATTCCATTTTCCTTGGAGGACATAGAAGCTGTGTCCTCCATTCAAATGTGACAGAGCAGCCAAGGGTCTCGCTCAACAGCTGAGGGCTTCCGTTGTTAGCATTTTCATCACACTTAAAAATAATTGTAGATTCACGCTGCCCAGCTTCTGCAAGATATGAACAAAAAGATATAAACAAGACTGTAAATCCATGGATTAAATCTGTAGGAAAGTTGTTAACAATAAATAAATTTATGTATCTTTGCCTTATAATGTTCATATGGTCCAGGCTGGGTACAATGCTTCAGTAGTGTTATATTTGGGCAAACTTGTGTAAGTCTAGGCATATCTGCTATCTGTTAGTGATCAGAGATTATACTCCAATTCAAAGTAATAAGGTCATCTATTACAATCTCAAAAGGGACATAGTGAATTTGGGAACAAGGTAGTTTTCAGAATGCAAAGCAATCTTATATATTTCCTACAAAATTCTCATTTTAAAATGTATTTAAAATAAGCTGAGTCTTATTGATTTGAACGGTATTAATATTCAAGTATACTCGGAATCCCCAATCTTAACATTCAGTCACATTTTCTTCTTCTACAACAAAACATGATAGAGTGTTAATTAACCTGCATGAAGTTTCTATTTTTCATGACCTTAGCCAGGAAACCAATAGTACAAGTAGTCCTTGACTTACGACCGGTCACTTAACAACTGTTACAAAGTTACAAAAGACTCCAAGAAAGGTACTTATGACTCTGATGATTCAAACGATCAGGCAGCCAAAAAACTGAATTGGTCATGTGATGGCCCACTTAACAACAAGCATGAATAAGACCATAATTCTGGGCTGAATTGCAGTTGTAGATCAAGGACTACCTGTAATTCATCAATAGCCCGGGTTAATGGCCGGTTCTATCTCAATGACACTCCCAAATGTGGATAAACTTATGCTATCCAAATACAAACATTGTGGTATTTATTGTCTGTATTTAGAGCACAAGACTGATTTTAGTTCTCTTACATAACAACTTCTAAAGTGCAGCAATACAAATTACAGGCGGTCCTTGACTTACAACCATTTGTTTAGTGACCATTTCAAGTTACAACAGCAATGAAAAAAGTGACTTATGACCATTTTTCACACTCACAACCATTGCAGCATCCCCATGGCTACATCAAAATTTGGACACTTGGCAACCGTTGCAGTATCCTGGGGTCGTGTGACCACCTTTCGCAACCTTCTGACAAAGCCAATGGGGAAGTCAGATCCACTTTACAACCATGTTAATAATTTAACAACTGCAGTGATTTACTTAACCAGCATGGCAAGAAAGGTCATAAAATGGGGCAAAACTCACTCAATAACTGTATCGTTTAGCAACAAAAATTTTGAACTCAATTGTGGTTGTAAGTTGAGAACTAGCTGTATCATGATTGGATTCTCTTTTCAGCAGCTGTTGTTTTATTTCAAGCCACCAGATATTCCATCACTATACAGTACAGCTGTGCATCTTAACCCTCCTTACTTACCATTTACACAAAATCCCCATTTTTGGTCTCTCCCTAAGTTATCAGTTGTGGCACACCATGGACGTGCTTGTCCCTCCGCTATGCACCTGTCATAACTTTTACCGTTATACTGGAAAGGGAAGACACAAAGCTCACCCTTTTCAGTCACTGGAAGTAAAAAAAAGACAATAAAGTATTTAATGGGCAATACCTATGAGATATAAAGAATAAAATATAAATATTTCTTAACCACAAACGTAGCAGAGAAGTGGGTTGTCAATGGCAGCCAGAATTAAGAAAGGGCATATTTTAAATAACAATTTATGTAACTACAGTTATTGGCCATCATTTTTTTACATAAAGTTTATTTTAGAACAAACTGATATGGTCTCAAAGATCATCGCTCTCGACCACTTTCACCTGGAATGCTTCTGCCTGCCAGCTCTCCTTTCAAAATGACATGCAAGCCCAAAAATAGCATCTTACAAGAGAAATGTTCAAGATGCATGCATCCATCAATTCCCCCTTTTCATATCTTAAAATTTAATAGTGCAGAATGGTACATAAGTTAATGTATATGATCACTGGACAAAGTTCAATGCCAAAATCACTCAGTGAAAATTCTATGGGTGAATTCAGCCTTAAACGTTACCGTACCTTCCTTAAATTCTCAATGGGATTATTCTTAAGGTAAATAAATTAAGGAAATATGGTTAGTTTATCTTAAACTTAAACACTGATGAATTAAGATACTAAGCAAGCAATGGTATAATTTTCAAAGTAAATTCCTTGCAAATCTCGTACCTGGGGGACATTTATCGCCACCCTTATACTGCAAGAAAACAGCTTCATCTTGATGCCTGTAGTCCAATTTTATTTCTTTTTTGTTGCCAAATGAGATGGCACTATTGCCAGAGATAAGACAAACTGCAGCGTCTTTGCATTTTCCTTGAGGAATATCTGCTGCTTCTGAACATACCCCAAGATGGTAGCTCCTGCGTCCAGAAGGAACCTGTTTTGAGAGCCAAAACTGTACCATTAAAGAACTGCAAATGGAATCAGAGAAAATGCTAAATATTTTTAAACGCTCACTATGGCCATACCAAGGGCTTCTCCAGATTATGCAAGACAATGTATGAAGGGTCTCAGAATGAATCTTCCAGTTCAGAGGGGTGCTTTGCTCATTTTCTAAAATACCCGTGAATATGATGCCCATAAAATTTTCAAAAGTTGTTTCCAGAATTTCATCTCACACTTATAGGGGGGAGAGAGTTCTAGGAATGACTGTGATGGTATTTATTCATCTATTGATGATCAATGCATCTATATTATTTGCATTATTTTTAGGCCCATGTCTTACAGAAAAAGAAATCTTTGTATGATGAGCACATTTTATTATAATATGTACATCCTATTTTCCTAGAGAAACTCAAATTTGTGTCCACAGGGTTTGATATATTTTGGCCTGAACAATAACGACTAACCCAAATGCTGTTTTTGGATTCCACTCCCAACACCTTAGCTACTACTCTCAACTGCTCATGTTTTATAGAGAAAATATGAGAAATGCAGCTGAGTCCCCTGAGAGACATTTTCATTGACAATATAATTTGATATACATAAAATCTGCCACTGTGCTGCAACCTGATTCCCCTCTTACTTTAGCCCAGCATATGAGATTTGTGATGGAGCTAAAAGCATATATTTTACAGCTAAGCTGATTCATGTCAGAACAGCATCAACAATTTCCCTTACTAACCACATCAATACAATCACCTTATAGGGTTTTCCTGCAAGGCTTGACAGGTTGAAAGCATAGTGTAATTGTTCATCCATGACAGAGCAGCCCAAAACATTCTCTTCATCAGGGCATACCACTGGGGTGCTCCATTCAAATATATATTCACAGCCAGACTTTTCTATCATTCTGGGCTTCCCCTGTTGCCAACACAACAAAGAAGAGAATAAAATGGTTAAGCTTTGAGAGTCAGATGTCTCAGTAAGAAAGCTAAATGACTGAAAATTAAACACATGCTGAGGTTAAATAAATCCATCTGCTTTTATTTATATTATTTTGGTTTTGCTTGCTGTGACTGATGTTGATGACACTGGAAATAATCAAGCTTCAAAAATGTCTACAACAACAAAAGAATAAGATCATGTCCCAACTTCTGTTGCTTTATGCTAACTTTCTGGAGAGAAGTGCAGATCACATGCTTATATCCAAATCTAAGACAATTTCAAAAAAAAACAAACTGCCTGTACCAGAGAAGGTTATGATATCAAGTTATGTACACAACTTGAATATTCCCTTTGAGCCCTCAAAATTCATTTTTTCTCCACTTCTCCTTATTTAGTTAAAAAAATGAATGAACAAGTGCTTGATAACTAGCAAAAGCAGAAAATTAAATACATTTTCCCCTCATCATCATGGACTCTGTTGGCAAAATATCTATTTTACTAATCAAAAAGTTGAACTTTTGTGATGGGTAAAATTATTCAATTTGTAGTTAAAGAACATTGCATATCTATTAGCACATTTAATATCATTATAATATCATGCCTTACTAAGCATTCTGCAAGGACATATCAACATAAAGGTAGAGGTAAAGATTCCCCTCGCATGTATGTGCTAGTCGTTCCTGACTCTAGAGGGTGGTGCTCATCTCTGTTTCAAAGCCGAAGAGCCAGCGCTGTCCAAAGACCTTCTCCGTGGTCATGTGGCCAGCATGACTAAACGCTGAAGGCGCACAGAACGCTATTAACTTCCCACCAAAGTGGCCCTTATTTTTTTACTTGCATTTTTACATGCTTTCAAACTGCTAAGTTGGCAGAAGCTGGGACAAGTAACGGGAGCTCACTCCATTACGCGTGCTAGGAGTTCAAACCGCCGAACTACCGACCTTTCTGCTCGACAAGGTCTGCGTCCAAATCAAAGATGCATCTCCAAATCAATATAATGCATCTCCAAATCAAAGATGAGGTCAGCCAATTTTGAAATGTATCGATCCAATGGGGAAATAGTGTTTTCAATCTTCTCCCAACACAAGCGATGCCATCCATTCGATTAGTTAATGGATGCAGGAGGGTAGGGATCTGTCCAGCACCCATTGTTTGGTTTTGTCTGGTGTGGTTACCTATGTATGGGTAGTGGTTTTTCTCAGAGACTTCTTGTAGCATGGGGGAATTTGAGAGGAAAGGATATGTACTAACCTCTCCAAGTAGATACAAGTGATTTGTTGATTGATTAGAGGCTTCCAATGAAGCAAAAGAGACTCTCCTCTCCATCTGTACCCATCTTAACCATCCATTATCTATGTGCCTAATGTACCCTATCTGGCACCATAGGTGATGCACAAGAAAGTTATGGGCTTCCTAGTAAAGCATGACAAGAAAGCAACCCCCCCTCCATCTACTCCACAGACCAGTTTTGATAAACCTACTTTTCTAATCATCTGCCAAAACTCTCCATTTTCAAGGATCCCAATCTCACTCCACCAAGAAAGCAATTGAACAATGTCTTCTCTGCCACTAGAAAACCCACCAGTTACTGCACATTAATTTTCCTGGCAGCAGGAAATCATTAGTGAATCTCATTAGTGAAGCAGAGTAGGAATTGGCTATGCAAACAGAGCCTAGCCCTTTTATCCTCATTCTTTCTGCCAACTCACAAACTGGTCAAGGTTAAACCAGCTGTTTGGTTGTATACTATGGCTGGAAGGGTTTTTTTTTCAACTTTTTTCTTAATTTGTAAATATTTCTAAGTTTTGGTAAACAAGCAAAATAAAACTATGATTACCAGATTTGTTCCTCTGTTGCAATGAAACACAATAAGTGAAGAATAGTTGAGATTTTTATCTTCTGGACAGGGAGTGGTACTGTTGAAGGCAATATTAACTTCATTTGTTGCACTGTTGAGCTGAGGAGGTGCTGTGATTCGACCAATATCCTAATTAAATGTAAATGTAAATGTAAATATGATTGACCACAAAATGAAACTGAAGCTTCAGCATCAACTGGGAAATAAATTACTTCTATTTATATACATTGTAATCACATATGTTACATTGAGGAACAGAATGAAGGAATGAGTTAGAAGGAATCCAACCATTTTTATGATCAATGTATTTCTCATATGATGAGAGATATAATTTCAACTACATTTTGTTCTGATGTACTCAAAATCTTTACATTAGTACTGCTAAAAACAATAGCAATAGCAATAGCAA